GTAGAAATAGGAAATACCAAATGGCTCAAACCTATTCCAGCATATTAATCTAAAAATGATCTAGGAAACAGGTGAAAAATGGTAAGTCATGGGTAAAGGGTGATTGCCTTAATCTAATAGAAAAATTGGAGGAAAAATTGAAAATACAATAAAATTGAATTACTCTGTCCATACTCCCAACTGCTTGGATTACTGGATTTGTAGCATTGTTGGCCTCTTCCCTTTCCTGGAACATTTTCTTGTTTGTTGGCTCTTCAATTAAGAGTCAGATTGGGAGAGGAGGCTGAATCCAAACGATGACGTGGCTGGGCTCTGCAGGCAGAGAGTTCACCTTGTTCCCTTTTGGGAAGTACAGAGGTGTCTTGAGCTTGTTCTCTCATTTCTAATGTCCTTGAGTTCAGTTTGGGTTTGAAATGGGCTATATATCTATACTAATAATAGCCTAAGTGGTCGTCACGCCCTCACGCCATCACAAGGAGGCTGCGTGCGCAGTGGGCACACACAGGTGGGTGGGACTGCGTGTGTGATGAGCCGCTCGTTGGTGGGCAAGGACTTGATGCTGCGTGTGCGCCGAGGAGGCGGGACCCCCAGCTCCGGCCTACCTCTTTGGGGCAATCATCGAGGAGCCCCGGGGTCCCAGATCTCACGCAATTTCACGTGCCGGGTCAATTGTGTGTGTGTGTGTGTGTGTGTGTGTGTGTGTGTGTGTGTGTGTATTCAGAACCTGCTGAAAGATACAGGATTCTGTTTTATTTTCTGCAATTGATGCCATAGGAAAATATGGATTTAAAAAACTGGCAGATTTCCTGTTTATTTTATTTTTTTATTATTTTTAATCCTTACCCGAGGATATTTTTCCATTGATTTTTAGAGAGAGTGGAAGAGAGAGGAAAAGACAGAGAGAAATATCAATGTGAGAGAAACACATCAATTGGTTGCCTCCTGCACATGCCCTGACCAGGGCCCGGGCCAGGGAAGAGCCTGCAACTGAGGTACGTGCCCTTGACAGGAATCAAACCTGGGACCCTGGGGTCTGCAGGCTGATGATCTATCCACTGAGCCAAACTGGCAAGGGCTACTGTTTATTTTGTTTAAATGAGGAAATCAAATATTTGAAATTATTGGAGAAATTAGTAAAGGGTTAAAATGAATATATTTAGTTTTAAAATAATTTAGATGGGGTTGGCAAAGAATAAAAACTAAGAATTTTTGTTTGCTTGATTTTTAGAGAGGAAAGATAGAAGAGAGAGGTAGAGAGAGAAACACATCTACGTGAGAGAGATACACCTGTTGATCATCCTGACCAGGGATTGAACCAAAACCCAGGTATGTGCCCTGACTGGGAATCAAACCTATAACCTTCTGGTGCACAGGAAAAGGCTCTTACCAAGTGAGCCACACCAGCCAGGGATGAAAGCTATGCATTTTTGAACACGTATTTTATGCCAGATGTTGTGATTCATTCATCCATCTATTCTTTCTTTATCAAATAGGAGATATGTTTGATGGTTCAAAATTTGAAAGGTACAGAAGGATTCCCAGGGAATCTCCCTCTGTCTTTGAGTCTCCAACTTTCCCTCCTCAGATGTCACCAGAATAATAGATCCTTGTGAGTCCTCATAGTAATATGTCATGTATGTGTATGCACACACACACACACACACACACACACACACACACACACACACCAGACAACAATATTCCTCTAGGGAAGCAGGGTGGAAGGTGGTAAAGGGAGCCAAATATATGATGACAGAAGATGATTTGACTTTGGGTGATGGGTACACAATGTAGTATACAAATTATGTGTCATAGAGATGCACACCTGAAACCTATTTAGCCTTATTAACCAATGTCACTGCAACAAATTAAATAATATAAACAAACAAATAAATAAATAAATAAATAAAATATAGAGAATTTTGTTGCTTACATAAGGTCACGCAATGACTTACTACTAGAACTGGGTTTAGAAACTTGACTTTCAACTATTTCACACTATATTATACATGAAATGTGCTGGGGCTGACTCTACCTGACCTTAAGCTCAACTAGCAGAAAACAAGCAGGAAACAAGCAAGTATACCCATTGTTCTTCTCATTAGACAGTGATGATCCTCAGGTCTTTGAATATGGACAAGCAATCACATGTAAGTTCATAATAATGTTAATCAAGGATTTTTTTTTTAAAAAATTAGATGCATATAGCTTTTGTTTTCCCTAAAGAAAGAGGCAACACTCTTAAGAATTGAGGGCTGAGAGGCTATGGTTACAGTGCAAAATATAAGAAATAGTCGAGTTGTGGAGAGCATACAAGACTACAACCTCCTTAAGGCATAAATTGGTTGTTCCATTTTAAAATGAATATTTGACACATAAAATGACTGTAAATAAAGTGTATGTATATTATAAAAGATTATAATAGAACCAACATCTGAAGACTTAACACCCAACACAGAAATCCTACACTGCCCACACCATTGCAGCTACCTGCACATTCTTTTCCCAGCCCACCTCTCTACCTTCCCCAGAGGCAGCACTATTGTGAATTTTGTGGGTTTTAAAATCAATTGGAATAT